GCGCTCCAGGAAGCTGTCGACCTTGCGCTCCAAATGCCAAAACGCCACCACCTGCACGCTCGAGATGCCAGGCCGTCCAGGGGGGGCCTCGCAACCTAGTCCAGCCTCGCCCAGGAACAAATTGTTCAGGCTACTGATAACGACACGAAGCCAAGGGTCTCTGCCAGCAGGGACAAGGCAAGCAACGCGTCGGCCTGCGGGGTCACCTTCACGCAGCAGCTCTTGGTACGCAAGGTGCCTGCGGTAAACCTCCAAGCCCGGCGACAAGGGAAGGGGGAGGACGTCACGCTCGCCCGCGCCCCTCCGTGATGAGCCTGCGCCAGCACCACCAAAACAACCTTGCTGGGCATAAGAGGCCAACAGGCGACCGAGCTCTGCGAGGCTGACACCCGCGACCATCTCCTCACTCAGAGGAGGCGGAGCTTCGTCGAAGCCCCGCTTCAAACATGCTTCCCGCCAGGCCTCGCCATGACCTGGCCTTGGGCATTCGCCCGTCGCTGCCTCGCCTCTTGCCTCTGCTGGTAGAACTTGATGCTCTGCTGCCGTCGAGAATTCTGTGAACGTCCTTGCCCCAAATGGCCTATGCCTCGGTTATTCTGCCGGTTCGGACTGCTGCCGCGGCTCCACGGAGGACCAGGACGCCGTTCGAACGGACTGCGACCCGCCTCGCGAGCCCTCGGGACTCGCGGAAGACCTGGGCCCGCGAATTTCTCTGGAGCGTCGCCGGGGTCGAAGCCCAGGCGGGACGATTCCGAATCGAATGTGACCCGTGTCGCCCTCGCGTCGAGCGCTCCCAGAGACGATGCCCGGCGACGCTCTTCTCCAGCCTCGAACTCGTCCACGATGACCTTCCGCGTTGCCGCTGTCACCGGAGGAGTGGGCGACGGCGGCTTGTCTGGCCGGTGTGCGAGACGCACTGCGCCTCCTTGCTGCCCGCCCGGCGCCCTCGAGGGACTCACCTGCGTTGGGGGTGGCCTCAAGGCGGGTGCCCTCCCTGACGGGCTCCAGCCTCGGCCGAGTCCCTAGCGACCGGCGCCGCTGGTCCGGCCGCGCCCGTGCTCGGCAATGAGCTTGGCGCTCTGGGCGTCGCGGCGCTCCTGGCGGTAGAGCCGCCCCCGCTCCTGGTCGGTCGTCGCGGAGACCTTCGACTCCTTGACGGGGCACAGGTGCTTCGCCGCCGCCCAGCCCTCTCGATTGGACATCTCGACCGCCTTGAACTGCTGGCACAGGATGTCCAGCACCGTCGGCTCCTCCATCTTGAGCAAGAAGTCGATGGCAGTTGCGAGAACCCTCAACTCGCAATCGTTGCGCGGGCTGAGGGCCTTCGCCTCCCGAGGGACCAGCACGTCTGTCAGGTAGTTGAACATCACCGGGGCGCACAGGTCGGGGGCGCCCCCGTCGGCCGGCCGAGGCAGGTACGAGAGGACCTTGCGTGTCCATGACACGCTCGCGCTCCGAGAGCTGGCCCCCTGGAACATCCAGCGACCTCGAACGTGACGAAATGATCGAGACCTCGTCCGACGCCTCCTGCGACTCCTGCGCCTCCTGCTCCTGCTTCGGCTCCAGCCACGGCTGCTGCTCCTCGCAGTGCGCCGAGACCGCTTACGAGGGCGATCCGACCCTCCATCCTTCGCGCCGCACTTCTTGGCAAGGCCGTCGAAAAATCTCTCGCGCGAGCTCCTGCGTTCCTCGCGCGGCTGCCTCTCACCTCGGTGGTCGCAGGCTTCCTCAACACCGCCGTCGGGTCCAGGGGCGCCCTCGTGGTCCCCGATCTTGGCCAACGCGAACTCCGGCTCGTGGCGCGGCCGAGGACCCTCACGAGGTGGCGGAGGCTCGGCAGGTGGGTCCAATGGAGGGCTGGTCGCCGGCCTGCCGCCGCGGAGCCTGGCACGTAGCTCGCCCATCCGCTTCGAACGAAGGATTGCAAAAAAAACGAAGGATTACAAAAAAACCCAGGATTGCAAAAAGGATTGCCAAAAAAACATGTTCTTTTTGCAATCCTGTTTTTTTTTGTTTTGCAATCCTTCGGTTTTATGCAATCCTATGGCCGAGTCGCCGCCCTTCTGCCGAACCTCGACGCCGCCGCCCACCAGGCGCCCTGCACCAGCGGCGCCCTCGGCCCCCTCAGCGGGCGCCCGTTCCGGCGGCAGGATCTGGCCCTTCGTGTGCTCAAGATCCTCCTCCCTGATGGGGCGCCACTGGCCCAGGTGGAGAGCGATCCCGTCTCCCGATCGATCGGCCTGCTCCCTGCACTCCTTGGGGTCCTTGGTGCAGAAGTGGAGGCAAGGAGGGAGAGTGGCGTTCCGCATGGAGCAGAGTGCCACCTCGTCCTGGGGGTCCTCGGCCTCGAGGTACTCCGCCTCGAAGCTCGCCCTCTTGGCGTTGCGGGCAAGCTCGGCCCCCAGCCGAAAGCGGACCACTCCCCTCCTGACGGCTTCAACGAAGGAGTCCGCTCTCGGCCACGTCTGGCCGGAATGTGGGGGATAGAACCAATCTCCATCAGCGGGTGGGCCCGTGATGGGACGACGGCCTCGGCTCACGCTTCGGCCCCGGCCTCGGCCCCGGCCGCTGGTGCCGCCTCGGCCTCGAGGGGCCGAAGCAGGGCGGCGCCGGACAAGCTTCAGCCGGCCTCGAGGGCTGGCTGCAGCGGGCCGGCGCCTGGGAGGCATCGGCCCTCCGGCGGCCCCCCTTAAGGAAGAGGGGGCAAGCGGCGAAGGCAGAGCCGCCGGGCGAGGCTCGCAGCCGAAGATTGCCTGCACGCGCGCCCACGCGCGCGACGGCCGGCGGCAAGCGCACCGCACTGGAGCCCAAAGACGGCTACGTAGAGCAATTCACTGTCTCCGCCTCTCCCGAACCACATGTCGAGGTCGAAAGTATTCCTAGATTCTGGCGTTCGTGGAAGTAGTTCGGCCACCCCGAATCTTACCACCATCGCCGAGATCGGGAGCATCTTCCCTCGGTGAATGCACGCCGCCGATCTTGGTGTTGGTGTTAACCTCTAGGCCTCCGAAGGAGGAAACGGATAAGGGCCGTAGACGCGTAGGATCTGAATCAGTTAGCTTCGCGCTTCGCGCAGCACATTTAGCGAAGCGCGGTTATGTCCTGTCATGTTCGCGCCCTGGCGCGCCACCCCAACACCCCTTGTACACTGCATGGAGATTAGCAGCTTTTTGGCCCAGCCCGCGAAGCGGGAGTCGTGGTCATCCTCCCCGCCCATGGCGGGTGACCAGACGGGGCGAGCCGAATGTGATCGAAAGCGAAGTTTCGGACTCGGCACCCTTGATTTTCAAGCGTTGGCACGTTGATCACATTTTGCCGGGGGCAAAAAGGTGCCGATACCGCGACTCTCTAGAGCTCTCCTGGGGTGCGTTCTGACTAGGATGTCGATGCAAATCCAGCCGTGGCGGCAAGGGTCCCCCAACATGCCCCCAACAACGAAAAAGGGGGGGAAAGGAGCATCGATGGGTACTGGTATCTTGATCGTTTCGAAAACGATGCGACGGGTTGTCGCCGATACCTCTTCAGCATGGCCTCGGGAGCATACTCCGAAATGTGGCCCAGTGACACGAGCTGCGATGAGCGCGCGGTGTAAAAGCAGAAGCTCCCCGGGAAAAGCCCGCACAGAACTGCCCGTCTTCCTGAGACGAAAGCAGGATGCCCAAACCTCTGGAGACTGGAAATCGAGCCGCAAATTCTTTGCAATTTTCAACCTCCGGAAGCCTTTCCGTGCCCCCGCGCAAACGACAAACCCTCAGAAGGTTGACCCGCCAAAGACTGGAAAATATCGAATCGTTGGGAGCCTGGGGCTGAACAAAATCTGGTAGTTGAGTGTGAATACCTCGTGGATCTCTGAGGGCTGGGGGGTCCGGAGGATGCATCGGATACCGCGGCCGTTTCAGAGCGCCCTGCAACGCTCTGAGAGTCTTGTGGAGTGCCATGGAAAGATTATTTTGTCTGGGGACGCCTGACCTCTCCCAGAATCACGTTCTGATCAGTGGACCGTGGGCTCGCCAGACCGTTTTGAGGCGTCCAACCCCGTGCCTCCAATGTATGTCGTAAATTTGTAAGATGTGGGCCATCGAGGCTCTCGACCCCATCCCCCAGGCATCCGCTTTCATCGCGCCTATTTTTGTTTGGTCCTCGAGCCCGGCGCGGGCCTCCGGAAGCCCAAACTCAAGTAAACGGCCTGTCGTGTGTTTCCGCGACGCTGGAGGTTCGGCTCCTCTCCTGGGCCTGCAAGTCGTCCCGTGGACCTGCCCCCGAGCGCGCTCTGCAGCATTTCGAAGCGAATCCAGCCATGGCAACGAGGCCTTGGAGGCGGCCAGGGCGTCTGAGCTGGTTGGGCCCGGAGAGTGTCGGTCAAGAGGGGGAGGGGTAAGGCAACCGGGTCAAAATCGGTCCCAGACCCCGCCCGGGGCCCACCTGGCGCAATTCTGCACATCGGATCCGTTGTTGATTATCCTGGGGCCCGGAAATGGCCAGTGGAGGCAGACAAGGGCAAAAAACCTCCCCCAATCCAAAGCTTCGAACCTCGCCCGCCATTCCTGCTCGGCGGAACAAATGTTGGGCCACCTCAGGCCCCCAGCCGGTTCCAAACGAGCCCCCCCCCAGCCCCGAGGAAGCCCAAACTCTGACACACTGGCCGCCGTGACCCCCAAGGGCGCCGAAGGTCTGGGGCGAGAGCTGGACAGTGCCCCCGCCTGGCCGTTTTGAGAACCTGGACCGTCGAACGTGCACTCCCCTCGCCGCGCGTCGCGATCGTCGTCGTCGTCGTCGTCGTCGTCGTCGTCGTCGTCGTCGTCGTCGTCGTCGTCGTCGTCTGCTGACGGCGACGATGTCGTTGCTGTCGTCCTCAACGTCGACGCCGCCGCCGGCGGCGTCGGCATCCCCGCGGCTGTCGCTGCGACGACGGTCGCTGCCACCGCCGCCGCCTTGGTCGTCGCCGCCGTGGCCGTCGTCGCCGCCGCCGCCCCTGCCGCCGCCGCCCCTCATGGAGGCGCCTCTGGCGACCGCGCCCCGAGGAGCTCGGCCCGGCCCACGGGCAGCGCCCCCCCGGACCTCGGCGGGCGCGCGCGTGCGCGGCGCTCGGGGCGGCGCTGGCGCGCGCGGCCCTCGAGCGGCCCCCGGGACGGCGGCCCTCGAGTGCTCCCGAGCAGAGCGACACGCACCACGATCTCGATGACGCCGACGACGACGACGACGCCGACGACGACGATGATGCCGCCGACGCCGACGCCGACCCCGACCCCGACGCGGTCGCCGACGCCGACGCCGACGCCGGCGACGCCGACGCCGACGACGGAGACGAGGCGCGCAGACGATCCGCGAGCCCAGGGGGGAATGCAAAGGAGGTGGGCCTTCTCAGAAGGCTCGGAAGGCCTCCGGCCTTCTGAAGAGTTTCCTGAGCCTTGTCCAGAGGCGGAAGCGGCTTATCGGAAGGCTGGGGGGCTCTTCAGAAGCCCCGCCGCTTTTGAGAAGGCCTGCCCCCTCTCACCTCCCCCCTGAGCGCGCCGGCGACATACGCCATGCCATTGACATAAACTTTCGGAGGTCCGCGCGGATTTCATGGATCGGCGCTGGAGCTGAACGACGAGGAGGAGCAGTTCAGCGAGCTGCGGAGCGTCATGGGGGTGCCCTCCAAGAACGACGAAGGGGAGAACTGCGACGGCGAGGAGTCAGTCCTGCCCCCGCCCGTCGAGGGCGAGTTCTTCCTCGAGGTCGTCGACATGGAAGCGGTGGTGGCAGCAGCCGCGGAGCCCCCTGGTGGCGCCTCTGGCGCGCCCCGAGGCCGTATCACGCCGATCGCCTGCGCGCAATAGCGAATCCGAGCGTGCAGGCCAGTGCAGGAAGGACTGCGGGCCCGCGCTGGAGGTCACTCGGCAATTCAGGCGAAGCCAGGATGAGGACACATTCGTGTAAGGACGTAGCCAGGAGAAGCCAGGACGTAGCCAGGAGAAGGTCACTCGGTAATTCAGGCGAAGGAGATGGACGTTTTATTCGAAACGATAACTTGAGTTATGTTGGTGGGTGGGTGGGTGGGTTCGCGCAGGCCAGATAACAGGCGTTAGTTGTCTGATGTCGTGTGTGTGCGCGTGTGTGCGCGTGTGCGCGTGTGCGTGCGCGTGTGCTGGTGGGGACAGGAAAAAGGAGGAGCTGGGGAGGATTCTGGGAATGGGAAATGTATCCTCATCCTGGCCTAGCCAGGATGAGGACACATTCGGGTAAGGACACGTCAGGAATCTCTGAGATCCAGCTGCTCTGGAGAATGTCTCGGGCGCCGCGGACCTTCGTAGAGCGAGCGCCCCGGAATGCTCTGGAACGGGCTCATCCTCGCCCCGGCCCCGTCCGACCATGGCCCCCGCGCTGCAGGGTCACTCTGGCGAAGGGTCACTCTCGCGCGTGGCCGGCTCCAAAGCCCCGAGGCTGGCCAGCGGCGAGCGGCCGCGCCGGGCGGCCGGAGCGCGCCGAGCCCCGCGCGCCCCCAGGCGCGCCGCCCGCGCCTCGGCGAGCTGCGACGCGGCCGCTGGCGACCTGGGCCCCGGGAGGCGACGACGGCAGAGACCAGTAGAAGCACCCGCTAATCCTCTGGGAGGGGGCCTCAGTCAGGAGGGCCAGGAACAGGAGAGATTGAGGGTCTCGTTTTGGCAGATGTCTCGGGCGAAGCCACGCACAGGTGCACGGGGGTGGCCGGGGGTGGGCGGGCTGGGTGGCGGGACGGCGGGGGCGGGCTGTTTGGCGGGTTAGCGAGCTGGGCAGGTTGAGTTGATTGGTTGGGCTGGCTAGGGCAGCTGGTTTCGATGCTTATCACCATCTCAGAACCCCCAAGACAACCTTACTTTGTAAAGCGCGCTGCAGCATTACATGATCCTCCTCATCCTTTTGGCTCCCCGTGCGGCATCCCGCCTGACCCAGGGCAACTATTGGAATCATGTGTAAAAGCAAACGTGCACTCGACCTCGGGCCCATTTTGGCATCGCAGAATCAGCCGATCTGGCCCGTACATTTTTCAAAAAGCCAAGGTCAGGTTTCCAGGTTTCAGCTCTGCTGAAACCACAATCTGAGCTTCAACTCTGGTGAGGGCGTGCCGGGGTGGCACTGCCAGGGGTAAGGGGTGGGTGGGAGGGGCACTCGCGCGTAGTCTGCGCAGCAGGTCTGTCCTCTCTTGCCGTGCCGCCTAGCGCCGCAGCCTGACCCGCGCGACGGGCACGAGAGCGAGGGCCTCCCTCCTGTCGAAAGGCCTGCAAAGACGGGCACGTCTGACCCGCAGCTCTGCGCACAGAAAACATGACACGATCGCCACCTCGAGCCTCTCGGGAGCGGAGGGAGAGGGGACACTAAATCTCCCAACCGCCCCAAGACAGGCCAAAAAGGGGCCCACGAGGCCACCAAGACGGTTCAAAACGAGCACGAGACGGCCCAGGAGCGCTCCATGAAGCCCGAGGTGGCCACACAGACGGCCCAAGAGGCCTCGAAGACGCTTCGAGAGGGCTCACCAGAGGCCCAAATCTGCCACATCCTCGGAGTGGTGGTACGATTCTGGCAATACTGGAGCCCAAGTGGTCCCAAGAAAACCCCAGGACGGTCCAAAAGGGTCCCAAGATGGCAGAGGAGGCCCTCAAGACGACCACAAGAGGTCCCTGAGACGGCCCCAAGAGGGGCCGAAGAGAACAACTCAAACCGACCCTTGGAGCCCTTCGCCCCAAGATGGCCACAAAGCCCCAAAGAAGCCTCCGAGGCGCCCCCATGAGGTCCCAAGAGGCCCCCAAGAGGCCCCTCAAAAGACCCAAGGGGCCCCCAAGAGGCCTCCAATAAGCTCCCCAAATGCCACCAAGAGGCCCTGAGAGGCGCCGCCTCGCGCGCTGCCAGGTCAGATGTGCATGGTCTGACTTGGTAACTATTGCCCGGAAGCGAAAAGTACTGAAACAAGAACCAGCGAAGGCCGCCGCACACCTCTAACCTCAAACCTTTTCGCTCCTCGCTACTTGGTGGGGGGGCCTCAAACACCAAGGGCGCCCCGGATCGGCAGCACAGGCCGGAGGCCCTGATATCATGAAGCTCTAGCCGCTCCAGAGCCCCAACGGCCATTAAGCATTGCGCAAAGCACGCACTACACCATTTCTCTCCTCCTCGTCCTCCTTCTTCTCCTCCTCCTCCTCCTCCTCCTCCTCCCCCTCCTCCCTTTGGCTCCCCTCGGGCCTCCGTCATTTTCTGTTTAACCCGAGGCGGCTGTCGGTATCAGTTTGAAATCACATGTAAAGTCAAACCTGGACCCACTTTTCACAGACAGCACCATGTGACTCTGATCATCCCAGAGCCCCCAGGGCCACTCTACCTTGCAAAGCACACTGCGAAATTCTCGTCCTTCTAGCATGCTCCGGCGGTTGAGGTCAACGGCGCACCATTGATCCAAATCCTGTCGGTGAGATACCTGCGCCACGACCGCCATCCGCCTCACTTTTGGCGATGGTTGGGATCATGATCAGGTTTACTCTAAGAATGTTGGTGCAAGCGTGATTGACGAGGCTGGCCCAGAGGCCGCCACGCCTGCGGGCTTGTTGGGAAGCTTTTCTTGCCAATGCTGGCAAACATTGGCATTATGTGAAGGGCCCAATCGCCGCCTCCGAAGCGTCCGTGCTGCCTATGGGTTGGGCGGTACCTGGGCCCGATAGTCTCGTTGATCCAGTCAGTGACGCGTGGAGCCACGTTGATGCAATGAAGGGTGTAGTTACCTCCCTCCTGGAGGCTATCAGCGACGGCATGTGGTCGGACGTCTCCACGATTTAAGATGGCGGGTGAATGGCGAGCGGCACTTTTTGGCAACCTGTTCGTAGGCATGGTCTATCTTGTTGCCCGCGGGGCCCACTGGCCTGCGCAACGTCTGGCGAACGCCAGGCTGGTGGTGAATACTGTGTGCCAACGGTGCCTTGCCAACCGTTCCGTTCATAGGCTTTGGGGGTGCCAGTGCAGTGACGGCGATGATAGCCCATGCGCACAAGAGACCAACCACCTCAGGTACCAAGCTCGAGAGGGAGCTCCCGCTGCATCCATCCGCTGGCGTACAGTAGGAGCTCGACCACAAAAACCTTCCACAAGAAACCCAACCCTGAGACCCCAGGACGTCCATTGATTTTTGGTGTGGGAATGTCACGCTTTCCATCGCGAAACCATAGAAACGCCAGAAACCCAGGGCACCCTGGAGGCAAGCAGGGTGTTTCTTGATATGGTTTTCCACTGTAGGGTACTCATTCCGTCGAACTAGCTTACTCTCCCTTGCCCTCCCGAGGTTCCGCGAGGTTCGGCCAGTGATTGGCGGCTGCTGGCCGTCCATTTTGCTGTTGCCCGGTCCCGGCGGCGCATATTGGCACCGGTGGCTCGGGCGGCGCGCTGGCAGTCACCCCGCTGCTCAGGCGATGTTCTTTTTGGCCTTGCCCGACTTTGTTGCCACTGCCCCGAGCCCGACTGCGACACAGGAAGGCACGGCATTCTGGATGGCAGCTGGCAGTTCTTTTTGCCTGTCCCGACTTTGTTGCCCCTGAACCGGGCCCGATTGGAGCACAGGAAGGCACGGCGTTGTGGATGGCAGCCGACAGACTGTGCCTCGAGCAGGATCGGTTGTCATCGTCGGAGTTGTTGGACATGTTGTGCATGACCACAGTCTTTTCATCGCCACGGGCCAGGAAAACCATGTGAAAGCGCTCCGTAAACGGTGCCGACACACCCTGAGCCTCCAAAAACGATGACATTTCGTTCGAGGTGTGGCAAGCGCTCAGTGGGACAAGGGCCCGTGTAGAAGATGATGCCATGATCCTCAAGCAACTCTTTACATGAATTGCCTTGCCGACCCCCTGCTTCTCTTTGAGCTGGGCTTTGCTGATTGCCGTTTCGTGCTGTCCAGGATGCCACTGAGCTGGTCGCCATGCCCTGGCCATTATGAAGCGCAATGCCACCATTTTTTCGCAAGTGTGTGCGATGCCCCGAAACCCTGCCAGGAAGCTTGCGCGGATTCGCCTTGCGCAATGCATGAGGTACGTACAGGGCGGCCACAGTGGAAGGCGTCGAACGTTCTTCGCAAGCATTTTTGGCTGGAGGTGTCAGGGTTGTGGAAAATGTCTTAAGCGAAATGCAAAGGACCCATTCGCATCGTCAATTTATCTTGCGCGGCCACACTGCGACAGATGTGGTGATGAGGACCTGGGGGACCTCCAGCGCGGGCACAAGGCTGACGGCGAGCGGTCCCAGTTAAACGATGGGTTTGTTGAAGAAAGCCACTTGGAGCGCCTCGGCATGACTGAACCTCCTGCCAGCGAACCGCGCCCTTCTTTCTTCTTGGCAGGCAACCAAATGCACAATACCCATGGCTGTTGGGGTAAAGGCTCTGACGACTGCCGTGGCAAGTGCGGCTGTTAGTCAAAGAAGATTCCGCGGCTCCTTTTCGAGCCCTGCGACGCCGAGGTCAAAGGCGTAGCTCATCTCACCGATTATCATCGCGAAAGGCTGCAGAGGCTCAAACGAGGCCTCCCCTCGAAGAAGCAATGCATGGAATGGGGTCCTCAACCAGATTGCGAGATTGATTCTACAATCTGAGCTATTATGTTGACAGACTATGGGTCAAACCCTTCGGATGTTTGGCCTGTAGACGCGCGCTGCTCCACTTTTCCTACTCCTCTTCCGCATCCAGCTCCCGCTCCTCCTTCCCCTCCCTCTCCCCCCTCCTCATCTTTTGAAGACGTCAAGCTTTCGATCCTCCTTTCCTCCTCCTCCTCCTCCTCCTCCTCCTTCCCCTCCTCCTCCCCTCCCCTCCTCCTCTACCCCCCCTCTCCACAATGATGGCAACAATGATGACGTGGATGACGACGACGAGGACGACGACGACAAGGATGAGGACAAGGATGAGGACGAGGATGACATTGTCTCGATGCTCTTCCTCGCGGCACCGTGGCGGGAAGTGGCGACATCGAGGAAGTCTCAGAGCGATTCCGCATCAGTTCGTCGGCTCTTCATTTCGTCTGCTTCAACTCGTCTTGTTCGATTCGTGTTGTTCGATTGTGCTTGTTCTACTTCGCCCGCTTTGAAATAAGACGCAGACAAAGAGGGCTACACGACAGAGGACGAAACGAACGAGAACGAATCCAAAGAAGACGCAACGAAAGCTGACAAAATGGAAATCCACGACCAGAGCGCGATAGCCCAACCCTCATGGCGCCTGCGAACGTGGCAAATCCAGCAAACGCGAGAACACCAAGCGAGACGAATCGAGTCTGGCCACCTTATCCGATGCCTTTTCCAAAGACAGCCCCCCTCCCTTGGAAAGGAAGCCTCCTCGAACATCGATCAATCATAGGATGTCCCCAGGGGCCAAGAGATTGTAGATCCGCCACCGTGCCCCCTGGCGCGCTCAGGCGTGGTAGAATGCCAGTAACTGGTAGGGCATCTTTGATATCATAATGCCCCTCCCCCCCCGCTTGTAGTATTAGCCCGCATGCGTCCCCCCTTCCTCCCCAGAGCACGCAAAGCCCCCCAAAGGACGGAACGAAGTGAGAAAGACGGCGAACACGAGAAGAGAACCCCTGACGCGACGCGGAAGAACGTGCCATACTCCAAATTTCTCCAGAACGTCGGGACACGGGGTGTCACACGTTACCGTTACAGCCTTCAATGCGCCCCCCGAGCAGTCGCCACCCAAGGTGCTGGGCTGGCACGGTGACGAGACTTGCCGAAGGCAGCTGGATGTTATTGTGTTCATCCTCGCCGTCTTTATCGAATGTGATAAAGAAGACTCGGCCGTCCAACATCAAACCCGATTTTACTTGGAGGATCCATGCCTCCAACGTGCTGCGCATGCCACCCTAGACGTGCATTTCGTTTGCGCCTCGCAGGCAACACTCTCACTGCCACACGCTGCCAGGCTTCGTCTGAACAAAGAGCGCCCAGGCAGTTCAGCCTCGACGCTCGATTCCTGATCAGCTAACAGGCACCGAAGCTCGATCCTTGAAACTCGAAGCATTGATGCTCGAACCTCGCTCCTCGTTGCTCGAACGTCGAACCTTGAACATCGACCATCGACCCTCGAACCTCGACCCTCGATGCTCAAACCTTGAACCTCGACTCTCGATGATCGAACCTCGAATCTCGGCCCTCGGAATTTGATGCTCCAACCTTCAACCTAGACCCTCAATGCTCGATGCTTGAACTTCGACCCCGGCTTCTCGATCATCGGCCCTCGAACCTCGATCCTCGAATCACGATGCTCGATCCTCGGACTCTGGAGGCCCTGGAGGCTGAAAACGACTGAACACATGACCATGATAGACAGTGACAATTCTTTTCCAGTTGCGTCGAAAGAGAAATCGGCCATGGAATAACGAGCCTCTATTCTTACATTAAATATTTGGAACACCTTGTCTATCCCATCGAATCGCGATTCGCATCGAATCCGCGTTGAACGCATGTCGAATCAACGTCGAATCCGCGTCCCGCGTCCTATCCACGTCGAAGTATCCGCGTCGAACCCACGTCGGATACAAGACACTACGCCGCCTACATGACATGACAATGCCCCCCGAAGATGGAGCGTAGCGATCCTCGAAACTCGATCCTCGTTCACTCCAGACGCGACCAAGTCCGGCAGGCAAGCTCGGCATGCCCGGGCGTGCTGGGCAGCGCTACCGATCCGTAGGACACGGTGGTCACCTGGCCCGCGGGATCGAGCTTGAGCACCTGCAGGAGGAGGAGGAGGAGGAGGAGGAGGAGGAGGAGGAGGAGGAGGAGGAGGAGGAAAGGGAGGACGAGCCAGGAGGAGGAGGAAAGGGAGGAGGAGCCATAAGGAGGAGGAAAGGGAGGAGGAGGAGGAGCCAGGAGGAGGAAGAAAGGGAGGAGGAGGAGGACGAGGAGGAGGTGGGGGAGGAAGACGGAGCGGATCCTGGTAGAAGAGTAGGGCAGGGGCTCTGGGAGGCCTCTCGTCGCCACGGCTGGATTCCCCTCGAACTCCTGGCCAAACTAGGCTCCAGGACCAGCTCGGGGGGGCGATTGTGGACCCCTGGTCCCAGGCCTGCCACAGGACCACGACGGAACATGTTCGGAGTTTCGACTTCTTGGGGCCCTCATCGGGCCCTGGTGACCGTCAACATATGAAACGAACATCGGACTGGGCTCCCGGGGATGATGTCGAGACCTCTGCCGACGCCGTTGCCGATGCCGCCGACGACGACGACGACGGTGATGATGCTGCTGCTGCTGCTGGTGATGGTGATGATGATGATGATGATGATGATGATGATGATGATGATGATGATGATGATGATGATGATGATGATGATGATGATGATGACGGTGGTGGTGGTGGTGGTGGTGATGCTGATAATGATGGTGATGTTGATGATGATGGTGATAATGACGATGACGATGTCGATGCCAATGAATGTGATGATGCTGCTGATGCTCATGATGATGAAGATGCTGCTGCTGATGATGATGATGATGATGATGAGAATGATGATGATGCTGGTGGTGATGATGAAGAGAATGAGGAGGACGTGGGTGATACTGGCAAAGATATTGACGATGGTGATGGTGGTGGTGATGATGACGCAGATGATGCGGATGAGGAGGAGGAGGAAAAAGAGGAGAGGGATGCACAGCGTGGACGTCAGAGTAGGAACATCGAGATGTTGAACACATCCCCCTTTTTGGGCATCCGTGGTCCTGTGAACTCTGGGGGCCTCCGAGCACCTCCAAGGGTCTGTATTCCGAGTACCGCCGGCCGGCGGCATGAGTGGGACGCATGAGGAGGAGAAGGAGGAGGAAGAGCTGGAGCGCCGATAGTGAATCAGATGCCAGCAAAATTCAGAGACGCTAATTTCGGACTTGACACGGGCCCTGCTTTTCCGGGGGCCAGCTTTTCATTTTGTTCTGACTGCTTTTGTTTGATGGTTCTAGGCCGCGGGGACGGTCCCGGGATCCCGAAGGCGGAACTTCCACGACCCCTTTCTGGAACGACTCTTCTTCTTCACGGTGAACGTCCGTGAACGGCTTCCCCACTTGCGCCCGACCCTCCCCCCCGCATCCCCTGGACGGCGCCCCTGGCGCCCCCCCGCAGAGCGCTTCGCGGGCCAGGCGGAGCTCGGCGCGGGGAGCGGGTCCGGCGCTGGCGGCGGAACCGTCCGTGGACGCCCGAAGTTCATGTTTATGCGCGCGTGGCAACATGTGATCCACGTCGACGGCGTTCGTTCTGCTTCTGCTGTAGCAGCATCCACATGTTTTGATGCTGTCGCCTGTCGCTTGACTGCATCCACGGCGCTTTACTGTAGGAATCCCCCCCCCCCTGCTCCGGCCGCCATGGCGGCCGCTTGCGAACCGCGGGCTGAGGGCGCCGCGCCCTTCGTCGTGCTGCTTGTCGGCACGGCTTCGACCCCATGCTCGCGCTTGATTGGCAGCTCCTTCGGCACGCTGCTCTCCGGCAAGGCCTGGACTCTGGCCTCGCGCCTGCTCTGCAGCCACACCCAGGAGGCCACCAGCAAAGCCTGGCTACCCCTGGTTCGCCAGCTCTACCGACGACCTCCGAAGGTAGTGGCATTCACGACCGCATCTTGCCCGCCCATCTGATGACGCCTTGCCTCTCGACGGTCCCCGGTGCTGCCCTTCGTTTCGGCAACACGTGCTGACCCGCACAACCTGTGAGTACACTGGCTCCCGGTCTCTGAGGCAGCATGCGCGCTCCCCGTCTGGCAGTGTTTCTCTTCGTCTGGGGCCTCCGCCCTACTTTCTTCTCCGTTGCCGCCCTCTTCTTTTCCATCTGTCGCGGACGTACTGACCTGGGTCCATGCACACCCGGGTCAGTTGGGCTTTGCAGGGTCCTGAGGATCCTGCAGGATCTGGCAGGATCCTGCGCGCTAGCCCGTGTCAGTGCAGCCCTGGCTCTGCGGGATCCTGCAAGATCCGGCGCTCTGGCTGACCTCCTTTTGCGCTGACCCCCGTGCCCGGAACCCCGAATCTGTCTCACTGTGCCCAGTGCCCGGCGCGGCCCGCTGGCTCTTCGAACGAGCAGCGCTGCAGACCGAACAAGTTTCGATGCTCTCCCCGTTAGCTCGCGCGCGAGGCTGAACGAGTGAAGAGAGATCGCGGAGCAGATGCGCAGCCCTCACCGAGAGGGCTGAAGCCCGATGCTGCACTGTGCAGCGCTGGTTACCGCTCAGGCCGTAGCAGCGACCAAAAAGCGCTGTCGTAGCACATCGCCAGATGTGGCGGCAACTGCAGGCGACGTCTGGCCATCGTCGACCACACGGTGCTCGACGCCGCCGACGTTCGGAGGTGCGACAGCGGGGAGCACGAGGGGGGGGGCGGGCCCAGAGCGCCGACCGCAGCGTCCTAAGTTGGCGGAAGCCGACCAGTGGCTCGGCCAGCGCCCAGGTGAGCGATGAGAAGACATCGGTCTTACGCACTAGGACACGGCGCCTTACACGATGACTTACGCGGGCTGCCAGCGCGGCACACCACCCGAGCGACGAAACGAACGCGGTCTTACGCACGTAATGGCTTACGCGGGTCGTTGGCGCGGCACCACCTCGGAACGAGGGCGCTTGTGCACGACCATGCGCGGGCAGAAGACGCGCCAATGTCCGCGCAATCGGCCTGGGTTTCTTTTGCGCCGTTCCTTGGGTTTTGCCCGCCTTCCCAAGGAGTGAGTCATGACCCGGTCCCTCCCCCTCCTGGGGGAGCGGCGCTCCCACAAGCGGCGGTCACCCATGCCCGCGTCTCCTCCAGTCCTGCTCCTCTCCGCCTGCCCGCCCCCCCGCCCCCCCTTCCCATTCCTCCCGTATCGCCGCAGCTGCACCCGCAGCTCGAGAAGGAAGGTCCCAGGGAGGTATGCCCTCTGGTCTCGCTGCTGAGGGGGCGAGGTCCGTCCTCGCCGGTTCTAACCTCGAGGATGCGGAGGAGGAGCGGAGGAGGAGGAGGAGGAGGAGGAGGAGGAGGAGGAGGAGGAGGAGGAGGAGGAGGAGGAGGAGCAGTAGCATAGTGACGGTGCAGAAGAGTACATCAGGATAGGGGGCACCTCCACGTGGAAGGCTGGCCATCCATCGAGAGAGAAGGCGAAGTAGTGGAAGTCTGGAGGTCGCATTCTTCTCTCTGGCCTTCGCTCTCGTCGTCCTCCTGCTTCACCTCTCACCCGCTGCGAGTGAAAACTGGAGTCGCGGCCGGGAAATGGGGCCTCCTCCTCCTCATTCTCCTCCGCCGCCTCCTGTTGGAGACCTGATCAACCAGGTCTCCAACAGGAGGCGGCGGAGGCCTTACTTTCTGTTTCCCCCAACAGTGCTTTCACTGATGGGCCATTCTGCGCTGTGAGGGGTGTGATTCCCCGTTCTGGGTCCAGACGCGTTTACAGAAGGTTACGCCCGTATCGTGGTTGACGTAAGGTCCTGCCCAACTTGTCTTGCCCGAAGTGGCGCGCCTATGCACGCAATCCTGGTTTACTGAAGGGGCCCCAGGACACAAATAAATACACACAAATAAAAAAAATCCCCATATTTTCATATATTTTCTTGGTTTTTGTCTTCCCGGTCTTCCCCCCCACTTCTCATATTTTCCAATATTTTCCTGGGAATCGACGATTAATTGTGTCTGTGTGTTTTTTCCCCTCCTGATTTACCTCCGTCGCCTGCGGAAGTCCCGCGGTGGTTGGTATGAGGTTTCGCCCGCAAGGCCCCGTCGGTGAGGTCTTGCGGTGGCTGGCAGAAGACTTGGCCCACATGGCTGCGCCCGCGCTGCGCTGCCGTGTGGGGTGATGTCGTCAGCGCAAGCCCTCCCCTTGCGCAGCCCAACGCGCCCACAAGATCTCGCCCACATGATCCCGCCCCCCACTCCTGCCCGCCAATGCGGATCCTACGGTGGGTGGCATCACGTCCCACCCAAGGGTTCCCGTGTACAGGGTCCGTGCCATACGGCCTCGTCCGCGGAGAGTCCTGCGGTGGTTTCGCGTGTGCTCTCGTCCGCAGAACGCGCACTCAGACGCGCGCGCGTGTTGCTGCTGCTGCTGCTGCTGCTGCTGCTGCTGCCGCTCCTTCCCATAGTAATGCTGGAATACTGGGCCTTGTTGGTTGCGCTCAAAATTGTTCCTGGCCTCGATTGCTGCTGTTCGTCGGGTTTCATCGCATGCCGACTACGGTCGAGTTGGCCCCTTTCATACTTGCGTGCCCGGGGATTACCAATCCAACTCGAGCAAGGTCCTGGCCTTCGCTGCCTTCCTCCCGTGAATTTCTGGTGCTTGTTCGTCGCGCTCTGCAGATTGTGACCCAGCATTTGTTTACTCCTGATTGTCGGTGCGGTGTCCCCTGACCGCCTATGAAGTCCCGCCCATACGACGACCCTGGCCTTACTTGCTGCCGTTCATTATGTCCCCATTGGTTGCCCATTGGGTCAGGGCCGCGTTGTATTGCATGCGTTTGCCCACAGGGCCCTGGCAGTAAACTGTCGTCAAGTATCCCCGGTGAGCCTGAGTAGCGGTGCGATGACGGTGCAACAAAAGCCTGGGATGACGGAGATGCCTTTTTTACATGGTGGCGTTTCCGCCCTTGCGCAAGGCCCCTGCCAATCCCTGGGACTCGATGTCCCAAGGTGGTCGGTGGGTTGTTCAGAATCAGCCGAGCTCCCGAGACGTCGGGCAGCAGAGACGGATGCACTTGGGGTTTGGTGCACATTTTTGGAACACGCTAGTAGCAATGCGATGGCGGTAAAGTAGGGGCAGGAGATGACGGAAACGCCTCTTTTACTGGGTGGCGGTGCTGGGGGTTCTGGCGCAGGGCCTCTGCCACCCCCAGGAACTTGATGCCCTTCTGTGATGGGAATGAGACGCCAGGAAGGCGAAGAAACCTGGAGGTGAGGAGGCGGATCCCGGGGCCCCCACCAGACGCTGCGAGCGTCGGAGGCCTATGCCCCTCACCGTGGACCCTTCCCTCGGCCCGGGCGTTTCCCTTGCGCCCAGCCCGCGGGGAGGGCAGCCCACCTCATGCGTGCAGCTAGGGCGAAGGGGTGGCGCCTAGGCCGGGGGATGAGACCCACCTCACCTCGCTCCTTTCCTTCCGATCCTTCTGGCGCCGCGCCTCCGCCGTGCCGCGCCGCGCGCGTGCGAGAGAGTCGCGAAGACGCGGTCGCGCGTCCTCCAAAGGGCCCACCGCCATTCGGGAACCTATCCCGCCCTGGAGTTCCGCCGCCGCCCGCAGCGGAAGGATGGGGGTCCACGGGCAGGAAGGCGGCGTCCACCGTTGCGGCGCCCACTGGAAGGCGGGGGTTCAAGACTATCTTGGAGGCGCGCCATAGGGCCCCGCGGTCGGGCCCCCGCTCCGAAGGGTTGCGTGGGACCCCGACGCAGCTGACGTTCGCCGCAATATAACGGCTCCGCCTGTACGACGCTCTGGGAGTTTCCCGAGCGGAGCTGCCACCGCGGCCCTGGTCGAACACGTCGCCCGCGGTGCCCGCGGTCGCCTCCCGAGGTGGGCGCCCTCCCCGCGGCGGCTGCCCTCTCCTCGACGATCGTGGCGGTGCGCTCCTGTGGAGCCTGCGGAATCTCATCGGGCGCGTGCCACCTCGGGACCGCGACGTGGATCCAGAGGGGCTCGTCGAACTCGACTTATGTTGCGGAGGTCGTTTGCCCCCTGCTTCTCCTCGCGCGTGAGCCAATCCAAGCTCGGCACCATCTTGCGCGACCTCAATTCCTCCGAAAGATCGATGAGGAGGGCCGTCAACGGCCACTTGGTCAACGTGGCTCTGGGCGCCGAGCGGGCGTTCCCCGGGCTCTCTGTCGAAACCGCCATCTTGAAGCTCGCCCGCTGGTGGGGCCCGCCTGGCCCTGAGAACAGCTTCGCGCAAGGGATCGTGCCGTGGAGTTCAAGCTCCGCGATGACTCTGTTCGGGTCGTTTGCCTTGGCCCACGTCATGGGCAGCAGGCCTTCTCCACCTCCAGAGCGTGCCAGCGGACTCCTCGGCTGCTGCCGTCTGGCGGTGCTCCCCGACCGCCTATCCAGCGGCGTTCTGCCTCCATGCCTGTCCTTGCCATGCTGGCGAGCCGCGCGCGCGGGGGCCCCTGGGGCGGCGTCTTCCAGACGAGGACCATCGCTGCGAAGCCCAGGCGCCTCAAGCCCGACGCCGTCTCGCTCGCGCGGATGAAGTCGCGTCCGCCGCCCATATCGCCTTTCCCTCCGGAGAAGTCCACGGCGTAGGTGGCGCGGTCGCAAGCAAGGGGGCCATATCCCACCCACCATGAGGCCGCCCTGCATCTCTGCCACTTGCGCCGGGGGGCCGACGACGCCGAGGGGGGTGACCATGAAGTGGGCGGCGAATCTCCCGCCGAGTTCTAAGCCGATCGCCTCCAGGTCGTCGGCGTAGGCGAGCTGTTCCACGGGCCAGTCGCCGCCCGGCGCGCAGAAGATCGCCCGCAGCGCGGCGCCGAACGGCCTGGCCCACCGCTCCGAGGCGCCGGAGCCGCCGACGGCGCCGACGGTGTTGCGGCAGCTTCGCCCTCGAACTCGCAGGCGAGCGTGCTCACTCGTTTTCGCAGATCTTGCTGAGCCGATGCGCGGTCCTAACGTCGGCGACGAGCGACAAGAAGACTTCGTGCTGGTCCGAGAGGTACGGCCTCGGCATCCTCTAGCGCCCCTGCGTTGGATCCGATCCTTCGCGGCGACCTCGCGCGTGCCGTCGGGCAAGAACCGCTTCTTGCCGCTCGCGCACCCCACGGCCGCCATCGCCGCTCTGGCGTTGTTGCAGAGGCCGCTGCTCAGCTGTTCCTTGGACATCTGGACCGTCCCGCCCAACTTCACTTCGTCCGCAAGGTGCTCCTGGAGCCAGTCGCTGCGGTCCTCCACGCTGCTGTAGTTGGCCGGGTCTGGGGCGGCCCAGTTGGCTGCGTCCTAGTCGAGGCGCCGCACGGTGAGTTCTTCGAAGAGCGCTTGCTGCGGAAAATCTCGCTTGTGTTGCCCGCTGTGACTCCTATCCCCAGTCCATTAAATCAGGTCTGCTTCTGGGCACCTGCTTCGCGTGGGAGCGAGGCTCCCAGGCGGAGGCTGATCGGCTGCCCCGCCGCGACGCAGCCCAAGTCGTCGCCGTGGCCTGCTCGCCCTGCGGCCCCCAGCCAGCCCTCGATGGCCCCTTGGGCTGTCTCGTGGACATCCGTCTTCACGAGTTCGGATGGCGCGCTCGTCGGGTCGGTCCCGGCTGGGCGCGCCTGCGCGGCCGACTCATGCGGGGCGCGCTCCGCGGCTTCCCAATCGCCCATGGACTGCGCAGTCTTCTCGAAGAGTTCAGTCCCCAAGTCGGGCCAGCCCAGGAACTTCCACAGGGCCGGGCCTCACAGGCCAAGCGAAAGGAGGTCCGCGGCGTCGCGGGGGCTTCCTGGGCCCTCGATGCACTCGCGACTGCGCGGCGGCCCCGCGCGTCCGAATTGGATGGGGGGGTCCTGAGGGCGCGGGCCTTCTCTGCTCGCAGTGCTGCGATGATGGCGTCCGCGCGGCAGTCGGGGCGCAGGTCGCAGTGGCGCCTGAGGATGACGCCGTCGAATTCCGAGAACGCCTCGATCAGGTCTGGCCGCGTCGGGCGCCAATTCGCGAAGGCCGCGGCGGCGCCCTTCCTGCTGTGGCGATTGACGGAGGATGGGCTGCCCCATTTGCTCGACGGGACCTCGCCGTTGCCCCTGCCGATGTAGCTGTCGTCTTCGCCGGAGGTGCCGCTCTCTATGGGGCCTTCCTCGGCCTCCTCGGCGCTCTCGTGTCCCCGTCTTGCGCCGTGCGAGGATTCGCCGTGCGGCTCCAGGCCGGATTCCCCATCCCCGCCCGCGCGCGCAGCTACGGTGGCCAAGCCGCGGCACCTGTGGTCGTGGACGGGCTGTTGCCCCTTCTGCGCTCCAGCGGCTCGGGCCCTCTGGGGGGCGGCGGCATGGGCCCCAGGTACTTGCCGTTCGCGTCGAACTGCGAGTTCCCGCCGCGGAACCGCAGGTCGGTGACCAGCCCGGGAAGCCGACCGATGAGGCGCGTTGGCATCGGGTACGGCGTGCCGAAGCTGCTCTTGCTGAGGGCCGCAGCTCGCGCCGTCGAGGTCGATGAGATCGTCCACCGCTG